CCCCTTCATAACAATCATGAAGCTGTCACTAATGGTATTTCTGTAAATCAAATCGCCACCGCGCCTCATCCCTTCCTTTACGCTGATAACACTTTTTATTCCCTGGTTTAGCACTCTTCTCCCACCATCCCAATACATCCTCCACTTGATTGTGTGTATTCCAGAGATGCCTCCACCAGTCCCTAAATGACAACCCCTCCTCCTTCCCCTGTAGTAACCTCACATTCATTTTCCAATAACCTGTGTGCCAGCAAATCATACCATCCCAAGCCACCTCTGCCAGAACGGCATGATAGTCTGAAAACCCAAAGTTCAACATCTGCACAAGTTCCACCGTAATCCCACACATTATGTAAATGCGGTCTAATCTGGCAGCATAACCCTGCCACACAAACATGTGCTCCACCCTCCACCCATCACCCCTGACTATGTCATAAACCCCTGCCTCCCTCAATACCCCAAGCACACACCCCGCCTCTCTGGACTCTACATCTTTATTTATAATGTCACAATTCCAATCACCTCCCATGATAGAAACCATGGGTAAACCCCACAAATGAAAAAGCAAAACCTCCCATACAAAATCCTCCTTTACTCTACTGTTACTATCTGCCGGCATATAAATCCCCAGGAAACACACCCTGACCTCCCCCCATGTCCCCTCCACCCTCACCACCCTTCCCTCCCCCCCTCTTCCCAACCGAGCACTCGGAATAGGCTGGATTCCCTCACCACCACTGCCACTCCACCTTTTAATCTCCCAGAACTACCTGCATACATCCTAAAACCTTTCAACCTCAAATCCCTACCTAACTTAAAATTATGTTCTTGAATGAAACACACGTCAATGTCTAATCATCTCTAAACATCCTCCAACCATACACGCTTAACAGCAGCCCTAAGGAGGTTCACATTTAGAGTTAGATACTTGAATATGCAAAAAGTGGGGCTTTCCACTATGTTTCTATGACATGTCTATTACACTTTTCGTTGCTCCAACCTTCTCCCTTGCACACTTACTCCCCTGGACCCCCTCCCCACCCTGTGCACTCCCCTGCTCTTTCTTGGCCACTCCTGCCACCTCTTTTTACCTGAACACTGGGCTGGCATAATTACCTGATCATCTTACGAGCCTCCAGCCCTCTTCCTAGAAGCACTCTCTACCTCCATCCCATCACTTTCCCCATCCCTGTACACCTCAGCCTCCACCTGCTGCAACTGCAACATACCAGTCCTCGACCCCGGTGGCTCTGGTACCCTCCCATGCACATCCTCCTCCATCACCCAAATTCTCCCACCTGCAGAGGATATCTCCTCCACCGGCACTTCCAGAAAAGACTGTATCATCTCCTGCAGTGGTTGAAATCCCATAGTTCCTCTGCCTCCACCACCCCAACAGGCTCCTGCTCAGGTCCAGGCTCGTCTTGTGTGGGCGTATCAATAACTTCTGGTAGCGTCACACAACGCTCCTCCACACCATCCACTTGGTCTGCCCATGTGCCTTTACCTCCCGCATCCACAGGAGCAGACGGAGCTACCACCACTAAATCAGTGACCACCGGCATGTCCATGCCAGCTGATCTCTGGGGTGCTGCCTTACCACACCCGGCTGCCATGTGGTCAAAAGCACCACACAAACGACACGTCTTTCGTTGTCCCGCATAAGTCACAAACACCTGTGTCCTAAAATCCTCTAGGACAACATACAAAGGAATGGGGCGTCTCAACGTCATCTTTACAGTGTAAGAACCTGCTGGAAGCCCAGCATAGAAGCTGTGGAAAATTTTATAGGGGTTACCTGTATGTACCTCAACATTACATTTCCACAAATAATCTCATTGGGACACAACAACCATATTGTTTACCGTAGTCACCCCATGTAGTCATGTGAGAAAACTTAGCCACCCCTGGTCACTGCAGGTGGCTCCTTCGACTTCACAATCTTACCAATATCTATCCGAGACCAGTATGAAGTGAATAGCACCCACAAGTATGGCACTACTAATTAATTGTGGACTGTTTAGATTATATTGGTTTGACTGAAGGAAAGGGGGGAGTAGGTTACACACATATATATCCGTCAATGGAAAACACTTGTATATAATACCACCACTTACCAGAATTTCTCCGGTGGTCATTTGATGTAGCTGGATCACTCACAACCTATCAAATTACAACATTCCTAAGTGGCCAGTATCAGTTTGCTATAACTAGAAAGGTTACTTAACTGTGGGTGATTGATGCTCCTTATTTCCTCCATCCACCATCTCATTTCGATGTCCTGCTACACCAATACGGTTCTTATTCCAGCAGGACGAGGTATCCGTTGGTTTGTCCTGGTTTAGAAGTCATGACTCCATAAAAACTTCACTATCCTTGGGACAGGAACCACGAGGTAAACATGTGCTCACTCACTCTGAGAATGGCATCTCATATCACTTCAACGATTCCTTAATTTAGTGTTATTATCAGATTACTTCATAGCCCACCATACGGTTTAATGTCTCATAACTAGTATACACATTAGAGGTCGCTCTATTAATTTTTGAGACCGATGAGTGATGATTAAATCACGGGTATTTTCCCCTGAACACACTCCATGGCATCTACCTTTATTCACTAATTTTGTCACTTATTAGAGTGGTCCCATAAATCACATTTCCTCACTCTTCACCAGGAACAGTTATGGCACTTCCTATTATGGAGTGAGGCCTATATTAATCCTTAGGCCGCCGTGAACGCCAATTTCCTGGTCCCATGCTTTCCCAGCCTTTTAACTCCCTTCAAAAACACTCCTGCCTTCTGATGCCTTGTCTCGACCTCCCCTCTGCCCATCAGCACAGGCGCAGAGCTTCCCTGTTGGTTCTATTCCATTTTCAAATACATTTCTTGACCCATATCAACACTTTAAACACCTATTAGACACTATAGCTTTGGAAAATTAAATATTTTCCACAGATGCCAACCGTCCATCGTCCCAATGTCATTGCATGTACTTCACCATATTGTTGAAATGCCTCCCGAATATCTACATTATCCACCTCAAATGGAACATTCCTAATCCTCACCCAGGTGTAATACTTTGAGGCATCCTGCAGTCGAACATCCAGTCCAGTAGTCACGGTGATACACTTCTCCTGAAACTGTGTCACCATCCTCTCGTAAGCCGCCACTGTGCAGAACTTGATGAAAATCCGTGATGATCCATTTAGAGCAATCCCATAGAGCTCTTCGTTGTCAATGCAGTATGTGTCCCTGACGATCGCCGGTAGTAAAACAGAGGCATTCATCGAGTAAATTGCTCCTCTGACTAAGTCAACACACAGAGTGTTTGTTATCCTGTGGCAACTAGCCTCCATCTTTGAGAAAACAGGAAACTGCGCAGGAAGGGCATCGTTAACAGAAGCGTCTGTGCAGGAGTTCCTCTCGGCCCGAGAGCGAAGATTACAATGATGTTGTTTCATTACAATGTTTCTGTTCCTTGACCAAGGCAGGGTCGAGTGGACCTTTCAATTCTGGATTGTGGCAGATTAATTAACCTAGAAATAACAGCTTACACCACAAAATAGATGATCCTGCAGGTGTGTCTGGTAGCGGTGAGGCTTGGGTACCCTCTTGAAATATTGTGTCGCACTTAATACTCTCCCACTCATCTTGCTTTTTAAGTAATAATTATCGTCACTCGCGCACTAACAAGATATGTGTGTGTGTGTGTGTGTGTGTGTGTGTGTGTGTGTGTGTGTGTGTGTGTGTGTTGTGTTGTGAGTGTGTGTGTGTGTATGTATGTGTGTGTGTGTGTGTGAGTGTGTGTGTGTGTATGTATGTGTGTGTGTGTGTGTGTGTGTGTGTGTTTTGTGTATGTATGTGTGTGTGTGTGTGTGTGTGTGTGTGTGTGTGTGGAGTGTGTGTGTGTGTATGTATGTGTGTGTGTGTGTGGTGTGTGTGTGTGTGTGTGTGTGTGTGTGTGTGTGTGTGTGTGTGTGTGTGTGTATGTGTGTGTGTGTGTGTGTGTGTGTGTGTGTGTGTGTGTGTGTGTGTGTGTGTGGTGTGTGGTGTGTGTGGTGGTGTGGTGTGTGTGTGTGTGTGTGTGTATGTATGTGTGTGTGTGTGTGTGTGTGTGTGTGTGTGTGTGTATGTTGTGTGTGTGTGTGTGTGTGTGTGTGTGTGTGTGTGTGTGTGTGTGTGTGTGTGTGTGTGTGTGTGTGTGTGTGTGTGTGTGTGTGTGTGGTGTGTGTGTTGTATGTGTGTGTGTGTGTGTGATGTTGTGTGTGTGTGTGTGTGTGTGGTGTGTGTGTGTTGATGTGTGTGGTGTGTGTGTGTGTGTGTGTGTGGTGTGTGTGTGTGTATGTATGTGTGTGTGTGTGTGTGTGTGTGTGTGTGTGTGTTGTTGTGTGTGTGTGTGTGTTGTGTGTGTGTGTGTGTGTGTGTGTGTGTGTGTGTGTGTGTGTGTGTGGTGTGTGTGTGTGTGTCAGATAACTATGAAATCCCCAGAAAAAATTTACTGTTGTTCAGAATCATGAGTTTCAAATAATAATTACTTAAGTAACACTTGTTTGTTACATGATATGTGACTTACATCTAACTCTCGTAATAACATTCTGATGTATTACATAATGAAATTATTGAAGCTTCGTTTATTATTGCAAATTCCCTAATGATGGTTATGTAGATTACAACTGTTGATAGTTTCTTTTCCAGAGAACATTTGTGTTTATAATGGAGGTAAAACAATACAATACATTTATTTGTGTATGTTTATGTTATGCTAATTTGAACTCAGAGGAGATAAAAAGTCTGATTAATACAAGTATCATTTACCTTACCTGGAGAACAATAGTTTTACTGAGCCTACAAATACTTTCTTTCCTTATAAGGTACAAACAATGTAGTTTACATGTAATAAAACATTGGTAGGCAGAACACAAAGTTACAAGTTTGTAATGAATTACTGCCTCTGTATTTCTGTAATGACTATTTTTTCTGCCCATTTCTTATAAAAGGTAATTACTGGTTGTTGGTTGTTCTGAGCTTGTTGGGTAAGTTTGGAATCTCAGCAGCATTTGCCATCGTCTACATCTACTCTGCTGAGATCTTCCCAACTGAGTACCGCAGTGTAGGAGTTGGTACTTGTACCATGTGTGCTCGTCTTGGTGGTATTCTGGCACCATTCATTGCTTCTCTGGTAAGTAACTACCATAGTTGGTACTTGTACCATGTGTACTCGTCTTGCTGGTATTCTGGCACCATCCATTGCTTCTATGGTAAGTAACTACCATAGTTGGTACTTGTTCCATGTGTGCTAATCTTGGTGGTATTCTGTAACCATTCATTGCTTCTCTGGTAAGTAACTACCATAGTTGGTACTTGTTCCATGTGTGCTAAACTTGGTGGTATTCTGTAACCATTCATTGCTTCTCTGGTAAGTAACTACCATAGTTGGTACTTGTTCCATGTGTGCTAATCTTGGTGGTATTCTGTAACCATTCATTGCTTCTCTGGTAAGTAACTACCATAGTTGGTACTTGTTCCATGTGTGCTAATCTTGGTGGTATTCTGTAACCATTCATTGCTTCTCTGGTAAGTAACTACCATAGTTGGTACTTGTTCCAAGTGTGCTAATCTTGGTGGTATTCTGTAACCATTCATTGCTTCTCTGGTAAGTAACTACCATAGTTGGTACTTGTTCCATGTGTGCTAATCTTGGTGGTATTCTGTAACCATTCATTGCTTCTCTGGTAAGTAACTACCATAGTTGGTACTTGTTCCATGTGTGCTAATCTTGGTGGTATTCTGTAACCATTTGCTTCTCTGGTAAGTAACTACAATAGTTGGTACTTGTTCCATGTGTGCTAATCTTGGTGGTATTCTGTAACCATTCATTGCTTCTCTGGTAAGTAACTACCATAGTTGGTACTTGTTCCAAGTGTGCTAATCTTGGTGGTATTCTGTAACCATTCATTGCTTTTCTGGTAAGTAACTACCATAGTTGGTACTTGTTCCAAGTGTGCTAATCTTGGTGGTATTCTGTAACCATTCATTGCTTCTCTGGTAAGTAACTACCATAGTTGGTACTTGTTCCATGTGTGCTAATCTTGGTGGTATTCTGTAACCATTCATTGCTTCTCTGGTAAGTAACTACCATAGTTGGTACTTGTTCCATGTGTGCTAATCTTGGTGGTATTCTGTAACCATTCATTGCTTCTCTGGTAAGTACCTACCATAGTTGGTACTTGTTCCATGTGTGCTAATCTTGGTGGTATTCTGTAACCATTCATTGCTTCTCTGGTAAGTAACTACCATAGTTGGTACTTGTTCCATGTGTGCTAATCTTGGTGGTATTCTGTAACCATTCATTGCTTCTCTGGTAAGTAACTACCATAGTTGGTACTTGTTCCATGTGTGCTAATCTTGGTGGTATTCTGTAACCATTCATTGCTTCTCTGGTAAGTAACTACCATAGTTGGTACTTGTTCCATGTGTGCTAATCTTGGTGGTATTCTGTAACCATTCATTGCTTCTCTGGTAAGTAACTACCATAGTTGGTACTTGTTCCATGTGTGCTAATCTTGGTGGTATTCTGTAACCATTCATTGCTTCTCTGGTAAGTAACTACCATAGTTGGTACTTGTTCCATGTGTGCTAATCTTGGTGGTATTCTGTAACCATTCATTGCTTCTCTGGTAAGTAACTACCATAGTTGGTACTTGTTCCATGTGTGCTAATCTTGGTGATATTCTGTAACCATTCATTGCTTCTCTGGTAAGTAACTACCATAGTTGGTACTTGTTCCATGTGTGCTAATCTTAGTGGTATTCTGTAACCATTCATTGCTTCTCTGGTAAGTAACTACCATAGTTGGTACTTGTTCCATGTGTGCTAATCTTGGTGGTATTCTGGCACCATTCATTGCTTCTCTGGTAAGTAACTACCATAGTTGGTACTTGTTCCATGTGTGCTAATCTTGGTGGTATTCTGTAACCATTCATTGCTTCTCTGGTAAGTAACTACCATAGTTGGTACTTGTTCCATGAGTGCTAATCTTGGTGGTATTCTGTAACCATTCATTGCTTCTCTGGTAAGTAACTACCATAGTTGGTACTTGTTCCATGTGTGCTAATCTTGGTGATATTCTGTAACCATTCATTGCTTCTCTGGTAAGTAACTACCATAGTTGGTACTTGTTCCATGTGTGCTAATCTTAGTGGTATTCTGTAACCATTCATTGCTTCTCTGGTAAGTAACTACCATAGTTGGTACTTGTTCCATGTGTGCTAATCTTGGTGGTATTCTGTAACCATTCATTGCTTCTCTGGTAAGTAACTACCATAGTTGGTACTTGTTCCATGTGTGCTAATCTTGGTGGTATTCTGTAACCATTCATTGCTTCTCTGGTAAGTAACTACCATAGTTGGTACTTGTTCCATGTGTGCTAATCTTGGTGGTATTCTGTAACCATTCATTGCTTCTCTGGTAAGTAACTACCATAGTTGGTACTTGTTCCATGTGTGCTAATCTTGGTGGTATTCTGTAACCATTCATTGCTTCTCTGGTAAGTAACTACCATAGTTGGTACTTGTTCCATGTGTGCTAATCTTGGTGGTATTCTGTAACCATTCATTGCTTCTCTGGTAAGTAACTACCATAGTTGGTACTTGTTCCATGTGTGCTAATCTTGGTGATATTCTGTAACCATTCATTGCTTCTCTGGTAAGTAACTACCATAGTTGGTACTTGTTCCATGTGTGCTAATCTTGGTGGTATTCTGTAACCATTCATTGCTTCTCTGGTAAGTAACTACCATAGTTGGTACTTGTTCCATGTGTGCTAATCTTGGTGGTATTCTGTTACCATTCATTGCTTCTCTGGTAAGTAACTACCATAGTTGGTACTTGTTCCATGTGTGCTAATCTTGGTGGTATTCTGTAACCATTCATTGCTTCTCTGGTAAGTAACTACCATAGTTGGTACTTGTTCCATGTGTGCTAATCTTGGTGGTATTCTGTAACCATTCATTGCTTCTCTGGTAAGTAACTACCATAGTTGGTACTTGTTCCATGTGTGCTAATCTGGTGGTATTCTGTAACCATTCATTGCTTCTCTGGTAAGTAACTACCATAGTTGGTACTTGTTCCATGTGTGCTAATCTTAGTGGTATTCTGTAACCATTCATTGCTTCTCTGGTAAGTAACTACCATAGTTGGTACTTGTTCCATGTGTGCTAATCTTGGTGGTATTCTGGCACCATTCATTGCTTCTCTGGTAAGTAACTACCATAGTTGGTACTTGTTCCATGTGTGCTAATCTTGGTGGTATTCTGTAACCATTCATTGCTTCTCTGGTAAGTAACTACCATAGTTGGTACTTGTTCCATGTGTGCTAATCTTGGTGGTATTCTGTAACCATTCATTGCTTCTCTGGTAAGTAACTACCATAGTTGGTACTTGTTCCATGTGTGCTAATCTTGGTGATGTTCTGTAACCATTCATTGCTTCTCTGGTAAGTAACTACCATAGTTGGTACTTGTTCCATGTGTGCTAATCTTAGTGGTATTCTGTAACCATTCATTGCTTCTCTGGTAAGTAACTACCATAGTTGGTACTTGTTCCATGTGTGCTAATCTTGGTGGTATTCTGTAACCATTCATTGCTTCTCTGGTAAGTAACTACCATAGTTGGTACTTGTTCCATGTGTGCTAATCTTGGTGGTATTCTGTAACCATTCATTGCTTCTCTGGTAAGTAACTACCATAGTTGGTACTTGTTCCATGTGTGCTAATCTTGGTGGTATTCTGTAACCATTCATTGCTTCTCTGGTAAGTAACTACCATAGTTGGTACTTGTTCCATGTGTGCTCTTCTTAGTGGTATTCTGTAACCATTCATTGCTTCTCTGGTAAGTAACTACCATAGTTGGTACTTGTTCCATGTGTGCTAATCTTGGTGGTATTCTGTAACCATTCATTGCTTCTCTGGTAAGTAACTACCATAGTTGGTACTTGTTCCATGTGTGCTAATCTTGGTGGTATTCTGTAACCATTCATTGCTTCTCTGGTAAGTAACTACCATAGTTGGTACTTGTTCCATGTGTGCTAATCTTGGTGGTATTCTGTAACCATTCATTGCTTCTCTGGTAAGTAACTACCATAGTTGGTACTTGTTCCATGTGTGCTAATCTTGGTGGTATTCTGTAACCATTCATTGCTTCTCTGGTAAGTAACTACCATAGTTGGTACTTGTTCCATGTGTGCTAATCTTGGTGGTATTCTGTAACCATTCATTGCTTCTCTGGTAAGTAACTACCATAGTTGGTACTTGTTCCATGTGTGCTAATCTTGGTGGTATTCTGTAACCATTCATTGCTTCTCTGGTAAGTAACTACCATAGTTGGTACTTGTTCCATGTGTGCTAATCTTGGTGGTATTCTGTAACCATTCATTGCTTCTCTGGTAAGTAACTACCATAGTTGGTACTTGTTCCATGTGTGCTAATCTTGGTGGTATTTTGTAACCATTCATTGCTTCTCTGGTAAGTAACTACCATAGTTGGTACTTGTTCCATGTGTGCTAATCTTGGTGGTATTCTGTAACCATTCATTGCTTCTCTGGTAAGTAACTACCATAGTTGGTACTTGTTCCATGTGTGCTAATCTTGGTGGTATTCTGTAACCATTCATTGCTTCTCTGGTAAGTAACTACCATAGTTGGTACTTGTTCCATGTGTGCTAATCTTGGTGGTATTCTGTAACCATTCATTGCTTCTCTGGTAAGTAACTACCATAGTTGGTACTTGTTCCATGTGTGCTCTTCTTAGTGGTATTCTGTAACCATTCATTGCTTCTCTGGTAAGTAACTACCATAGTTGGTACTTGTTCCATGTGTGCTAATCTTGGTGGTATTCTGTAACCATTCATTGCTTCTCTGGTAAGTCACTATCATATTATTTATTAATTATATAAATTTAAATGATCATATGTTTTAACTTTTCATTTAGTTTATATGTAACCATACACAGCCTGTTAATTGGAATCTGTGCCGTAACTGGAGAATGACTCATCTGATCGGCATCAAATTTTCACCACTGGTGTGGCTTCCTGAACACAAGACTCACGCTGCTATTGGCTGCCATAAGTTAATTATTTTTTCTTCAATAAATAAAACCTGTTTGTCCTGATTGTCTTCCAGTTT